GTGTAGTCTGACAGAATATAGAACGTGGGGCAGACTATCGCGAAGAGCCGCAATGCACATAACTGTGGGAAGTATGTCGTAAACAAACTTAGTTTGTTCTTCTGGACGTTTTAACTCCTTTACCGTCAACTCCTTTACTTTACACGTAAACTACGAATAAAAAAAGGTCAACTCCTTTACTTTATACGTAAACTACGAATAAAAAAAAGGAACTCACCATTGTTCACACGAAGTTGGACTCCTCTCAAGTTGCAGCAGCAGCAAACCCGGTGGTCACGCCTATTTAAAGGCTCTGTCGTTTGCGACACTTGTGACTGTAACACGGCAGACCTGGGATCCTGTAGTTGTAGTTTTGTTAACGTTCTGGTTTTTTATTTTTGAAAAAAAAAATTTAAATGTAAATTATATTTACGAAATCCATAACGTAAACTGACATTGTTGCTATTTTATTAAACGTACATTTGACATCTTGACTGCGTTAGCTGGGTAGCGCATTTACGGCACTTGTCACCGTCACGCGGCAGCCAGAGGTGCCATGGAGTTGTAGTCTTTAGTCGGTTTTTTTTGTTCTTCATGGAAAAAGAGGGAAATAACCAATAGAAACTAAGTCAACAAATGTCTCTGTTAATGGAATACTTTATTATGTATGCGTTTGTATGTGATCGCTCTGTTTGTTAATGAGCTGCCCAGTTAGCTTAGCACTGACGGCTAGTGGTTGCTTAGCGACCAGAAAAGAGTCAGCTAGCATCGGTCGATTAAACATACGTAGGTTTTAGCTTAGCCAAGAGTACCAATTGTAAAAAACTTATAAAAACAAGCAGCTAGTAGTAGAAATTGTTACATTCACGCTGTGAACGGCACGAGAAATAGAACAGATCGCGCATTTTCAAGATGTTTAGTTTATGGAACACTGTCCATCCGAAGTAAACAGCAGTCGAGAGAGTTTACATGTTCTATCCGTACACGCAGCACTGTATAAGAAGCACGTTTATGTACAAGCAAATAGAGAAATGAAAATTCCAACATAAAGAAGCAACGATGACGTCTACAGAGATACAAAGATCCGCCGTCGATCACAGTCAGAGTGAGTTTTTAATTTTACGTGTTTCTTAATTTCTTCTTGCTGTGTGTCGTTGTTAACTAGTGTCTGTCTTATCTAGTTTTTTTTACCATTATTATTTTACATAGTAATTATTATCAATACATAGTCGATACACATGTTATTACACGTGTTATTAACGCACCGCAGGGGAAACGTTTTCGTGTTATTGAAGCAAATCCAGCTTGAAATACAATGAACTGTAAAAGGATTCATATTGTTGAGGACAATGACGTCACTCAACTCACTGTCAACATGCAGAATGACAAAAATCTATCAATTCCGTGAACGTAAAACTTAAGTTATACCTTTGCATATTTTTTTTCAGTTAATAGTGATCAATTATAATCACGATTAATCATAATTAATCGTGACTACTCCACTATGCTACCATGTAGATTAATTATATTAATAACTGAACTCCACCCATTACTAAAATTAGAGAAAAATAGAACCACATACAGTTATTTCAGACACTGATATTAAAAACCAATTGTGTAATTTGTGTTTTAAAAAAGATTTGTTTATAATGTGTGGTCTGTGGACAGCTGTGGTTTTATGTTAGCACAACCTTGAAATGGCCTTTTATTGAACAAGTTGCTGCTGTGTTCATTTTCCCATCCCCATGTCTCCAACACTGGTTGACGTGAGGGGATTAGACATACTTTGTCTCTGAGAAAGAGGAAATCTGAAAGAAACCACAAACATCAGCAGCTCACACGATAATATCTGGTGCCAGTTTGCCACGCTGCACTAAGCTGATCCTCTGTGTGTGTTTGTGTGTGAAAACAACTGGCAGTTTGGTTGTTTTCTGAGCCACGGGACAAGACATGGACATGGACCTCCACTGACCTAAAACGACGACGACGACGACGGGTGGGAAACATGTGACCGTGATTTATTTCCTCCGGCCTAAATACATGTACGTCCAGTTATATGATCCATTACTTACATAATAATCCTGTATTATCATGTAAATAATCACAGGACCAAAACATGACTATACAGAGGAATCCTCAGCATGAGCAGAACCACATCATCGGTCTGTCTTTGTCACAGTATGTCTGTTTCTAGTTCTACTGTCCTGTGTCCACACCTCCACCTATTTCGTCCTCCACGACTCCTTCACCTTTACCTTTACCTTCACCTTCTCCATTCGACCTTGTGACTGAACCTGAGTGTCACACCTGCAGCTGGAGGACACAAAGTCAACACACATTTGTTTGCACGTACCCCATCATCTGCCTCTGGTAGCAGTCACTGAGATAGCATTCTGCATCCACACAAAAGCCGACGCTGGGGATTATATCACAACTATGTCACAACTGATCTGTTATCATGTTCTCAACACTGGGGGGCGTCACTCTGCTGGTTGAAAGCCTTATTTGTGTTTCGGTTTAGCAGAGAAAGTTCGAGATAACATTTTTTTTTTTAAACGTATGTTACCTGACTCACTATTTAACCGCAGTAACCCTGAATGTACACTAGGTGTCAGTGTATGCCTGCAGTTAACCCCTTGTCATCCTTGAACGTCAGTTACATTTACACGTGTATTTAGCAGATGCATTTATGCCGTGCAACTTAAATAAGAAGATGGTTCCACTGGGGCTCGAACCCAGGACCTTCTGCGTGTAAAGCAGACGTGATAACCACTACACTATGGAACCACATTGACTGCAACAACACTTGTAGATAGTGGTTGACATATCCAAATGACTCTTTGCACGAAGCTAATGTGTTGCCTTCATGAACTGGAACGAAGTGTAATAAGTCTTTTGTTGAGGGACCTGTCAGTTATTTGAAGCTATTTTGATTAATATTTTTTTCTTTCTTCACATTTTTCCAGTCACAAATAACTCTTAATTTCCAGACACGTACGTCCATCTGCTGTTATTTATGGTTCCATTCTGGAAGTGAACATTCCTTGTCATTCTTTAGTCACAAATAACTCAAATTTCCAGACACTGGAAGTGAACATTCCTTGTCATTCTTAGTTGATGTGGATTTATCCTGATTAATTATAATTAGTTGCAATCATTGTTAAGCAGATTAGACATTTTAACACTATGACAGTTCAGGTATGAAAAGAAATTTACAAGCAGCGTTTAAAGCAGTTACTGTTGAACACCTATTCAGGTTTCACTCAACATGACGTCTCTTTAATTAACGAGGAAATCCCCCTTCATATCAACCTCCTTCAGGGGGTTTGCACGTACAGTGATATTGGCACAGTCGCTGATGGAAACTTTCACAGTTATTGGGGCTTTGGACGTGGGTCGGGGACGATGGACAACTTGGTGTGCGTCCTCACAGGCGCACGCAGCAACACGGCCTCTAGGAGCGCCACACATGGACCACAGTCCCTACAGGATTAAAGTCGTTGGTGATGTTTAATAATTCTCTTTGTGTCGAATAGACTGGAGCTTAGTCCCATTTTTCTTTTGAATTACTCTTTTCTAAGATATCATGAATTGGTTGCTTCCACAGTTATCCCCCAGATCCATTTGAGCCCTTGTCATTGTGTGGTTTTTGGCTCTTGTACAACAAGGCCTGAGGGACTTGAACTGTTTCCAGTCTGCCTCCGACTGCTGACTTACCTACGACCACTCTGAGTTTGTTACTTACTGATTGTGTGTGATTGAAATCTGAGATGAAGTGTGTGTGTGTGTTTTTTTTTTTTTTTTTTTGGCCAAGTGTTGGCTTTCTCCTGGAGGGGAACAGACAGCCAGGCTCTTAATCAGAGCGAACAGACCCCTGCAAATAGACCGAGCAAACTTCTTGGCACCGATGCAGTACTATTCAATTAAATCTGATGAAATCCACACACTGCCCCCCCCCCACAGGTGTTTTATTGTCTGAGTGAGACACACTCTCTCTGTCTCCTTCCATCTACCTCCCTGAGGTGTTTGCATAAGGAAATGGTCCATGAAACCGCTTTGACTGAAGAAGACTCCCTATTAAAACCAATATGCTTCATTTCAAAGCGGTTGACGGACGGTCTGACTGATGGACTGACTCGCTGCATTTCAAAGCGGTTGACGGACGGACTGACTGACTGACTGACTGATGGACTGACGGTCTGACTGACTGACTGACGGACTGACGCGGCCGGGTCGTCGTCTACTTTTTACGTCACAGCAGCAGCAGAAGGTTAGTTTGATTGTTTCAAAGGGAGCTGCAGAACTTGGAACATTGTCTCTGTGTTACAGCACAAAAAATCCCATTTGTTTTACTAGTAGTGGCCATAGGGTGGCACTAAACCCCCATATGTCGACCATCTGCTTCTGTCTACACTAAACGCACACTTCCTCCTCCCCCCTACTGGTGACTGCAACACACTGTAAAAAAAGTAACTGAAGGATGACCCAATATGTGGCAGCAACAGTTTTATTTTATTTTTTTATTTTTTTTTTTGCGTGCAGTGCCAGATGATGTGGCCACAAATTCCCATCGGAGCGGGCTACGAGGTGTTTCTTGTTTATATTTTCCTCTTTTAATCAACACCACTTTTGTTTTGTGCACCACGAGGCCGTTCCTGGTCCACTCGCAGCACCTTTCATTAACCTCAAAACCCAAATCCATCCAGCTGGACCAGTCCACTGCCGACGCTGGCGGTCACACCCCTCTGCACAGCCATAATGGGCCGCGGCACAATTGGGGGCCACGTAACCGACAACATTCCCGTTCTTTCCGAGAGGCCGGTTGCTCGCAGGTTTACCCGCAACACCGCTTTTCCCTGTTTGCCTGCACTCAGTAAAAGGAAAGAATGTTTTCCCCCACAACATGGCTGTGTGGGGATTAAGGCCCATTCTAAGTGGCCCCGGGTCGTGCAGCAGATGTTAGCTCGGATAGGGCTGGTTGCCGTGCCGACAGTGAGCCAGCGGGATGGTCCCGCCCAGGCAACGTTAAGCCTATGTACATGTGCGGGAGGAGGAGAGGAGGAGGCGGCGGCACTGTGACACATGAAAAAGAACGACGGTGGGAAATTTGTCCCAGTGGTCACACACAAATTCATCGACACTGTCCCTGATCGTCATCACGCTCGGTCAAAGCCAGGGTTTCACCTGGTTAGATTCAAGCTGCTGTCCCGCAGGACCGTGTGTGACGA